GCTACAGCCAGCGTGCTGCACCAATCTGAAGCCAGAAGCCAGGTGCTTCCTCTTGGTCTCCCATGCAGGTGCAGGGCCCAAGCAGTTGGGACATCCTCCTAATATATTTCTTTAACAGCGTAAGTCTAGGCCTTTTACTGAGGTGAGGCCAGCTCCAGTCTTCAGGGCTTGTTTTGCCTTTCTTACTCATTAGCTCAATATGGAAAGAGTTCCTGTATTGTATTGTGTTCTGTTTTCCATTATGTACTCCAGTTAAAATAAACACTCATATTCTTTAGAAAATTATGTAACATTTTATTAAAAATTACCTTTATAATTCACATGAAGCCAAAACATTGGTGTAAATTTCCAGAATGCAAATCCAGCAAAAAAAGAAACATGATCATGATTGCAGTCAGGTCTTTGTGGTTTAGGAGATACGTTCTTGATACTAATTTATCAACATTCCCTCATATTCCAAAATTGTAGACTGAAGTTGTATTGGACTGAGCACAAATAATGCAAGCATTAATCCTATATATATATATATATAAATCTTGTACAGATTTTAAGGATAGTGTTTCTTCTCCCCCATTCCCACCCTCCCACCCGCACTGCCATCCCACCTTCCACTCCCTCTCCCATTCCATTTTCCATTAAGATTCATTTTTAATTGAGTTTATATACAGAAGATCAACTCTTTACTAAGGAGAGATTTCAACTATTTGCACCCGTACAAACTTAAAAAGTATAAAGTAGAGTTTTAAGACAAGTTTTACCATTAATTCTCATAGAACAACTCATTAAGGTCAGAGGTCCTGCATGGGGAGCAAGTGCACAGTGACACCTACTGTTGATTTAACAACTGACACTCTTATTTATGCTGTCAGTGATTGCATGAGGCTCTTAATATGAGCTTCCAAGGCTATGGAAGACGTTCACAAACTACATCAGTTTTTAGACAGGACCATATTTAAAGTGGAAGTTCTCTCCTCTCTTCAGAGAAAAGTACATCCTTCTTTGATGGCCCCATCTTTCCACCAGGGTCTCATCCACAGAGATCCTTCAAGCAGAACCATTTTTGCCACTATGTCTTGGCTTTCCATGCCTGAAATGCTCTTATGGTGTTTTCAGTCAGGACTTAGGGGCTAATTTTGAGGTCAGATTGCTGTTTAGGGAGCTTGTCATTCTATGAGTCTACTGTGTGGACTGCTTCCCATGTCAGAACTTTCTCTTCTTTGTAATTCTATCTATTGTTATTACCAGGCACTTGGTCTTATTTATGTGATTCCTTTGACTGATGGTCCTATGTATATGATCAATTCCATACTTAATATGATCACTTTATCACATAAGATGGGATTAGTGCCACCCAGCTAAATGGAATTTGGAGTCCCATGGCGAGTTTTTAGTTTCACCCTTAGGGGTAGGTCTGTGGGATTGTGTGCTGTTCTGTACAGCTCCTCCCTCTCTCATTCCCACTCTTATTTTTAACTTGGACCTATTTTCAATTTACTTAATACATCTATGATTAATTCTATGTTAAGTAAGGAGTTCAGCCAATGATATTAATAGAAAAGAAAAAAAGAATAAAAAAATAAAGTGAAATAAAATGTTCCTTAACAGTCAAGACAGAGCTGTTCAAGTAATTGCTTCTCATAGTGTCTGTTTCAGTTCTACAGTTTCCCTTTTGGGTGCTCTTTTGTCACGAATCAGGGAGAAAATATGGTATTTGTGCCTTTGAGACTGACTTATTTCATTAAATATGAAATTTTCCAGATTCATCCATTTAGCTATAAATGTCCAGAATTTGTTATTTTTTAACTGCTGTGTCGCATTCTATAGAGTACATATTCCGTAGTTTCTTTATCCAGTCTTTCATTGATGGGCATTTAGGTTGACTCCATGTCTTGGCTATTGTGAATTGAGCTGCAATAAACATACAGGTGCAGATGTCTCTTTTATTTGCTGATATCATTTCCTTTGGGTAAATTCCAAGGAGTGGGATCACTGGGTCATGTGGTAGGGCTATCTTCAGATTTCTGAGGTATCTCCATACAGTCTTTTTTTTTTTAACTTTTATTTAATGAATATAAATTTCCAAAGTACAGCTTATGGATTACAATGGATTCCCCCCATAACGTCCCTCCAACCCACAACCCTCCCCTTATCCACTCCCTCTCCCCTTCCATTCACATCAAGATTCATTTTCAATTCTCTTTATATACAGAAGATCAGTTTAGCATACATTAAGTAAAGATTTCAACAGTTTGCTCCCACATAGAAACACAAAGTGAAAAATACTGTTTGAGTACTAGTTATAGCATTAAATCTCAATGTACAGCACACTAAGGACAGAGATCCTACATGAGGAGTAAGTGCACAGAGACTCCTGTTGTTGACTTAACAAATTGACACTCTTGTTTATGGCCTCAGTAATCACCCTAGGCTCTTGTCATGAGCTGCCAAGGCTATGGAAGCCCTTTGAGTTCACCGACTCTGATCATATTTAGACAAGGTTGTAGTCAGAATGGAAGTTCTCTCCTCCCTTCAGAGAAAGGTGAGGTCAGAAATTCTTTCCTTCACTTGGTCTACTCTGCTGTTAAAGCTCTCAATTATATTTTTTATTTCACTAAAGTTTTCATCTCCAAAATTTCTGTTCGGTTCTTCTTAATACGTTCTATCTCCTTAGTAACATTTTCACATGTCACACACTGATTTCCTTATTTCTTTAGTCTATATTCTCGCATCTAATTGAGTTTCTTTACAACCATTGTTTTGAATTCTATATTTTATTTCATATTTTCCTTCAGCTCATGGTCTAATTCTGGAGGAATATTGTGTTCTTTTGGAGGCATTATGTTACCTTGCTTCTTCATGTCTCCTGTGTTCCTACATTGATATCTGCCCATCTGCTGTATTCATCCCTGCTTTATGGAGTAAGCTTTATTGTAAAACAGTTTATGGATTACCTAGAATGCAGAGCATCACTGGGTTTGTTGCTTTGGCTTTGGTTCTAGGTGAGCCCAGCAGTGTAGTCTCTGAGTGATTTCTTTTGTCTTAACCAATGTCTGCTGTTTGTAGAGATAGAAATGTGGCTTTGTGATAAATAAGGATTTTCTTGAGTGTGTATCTTTGTTCCACAGAGAGTTCAGTGTCAGTCTCCCTGGGGAATATGACAGCCCAGACCTTGTTCTGGGTGCTGAGCAAGACAGGGGTAGCTGCTCCCTTCTCTTACTGGCAAGGCTGAGTGATGTCAAGTCTTGTGCCAATTCCTGTAGCTCTGGGACTGTGTGATATGGAGATGTTTCCTTGGGTCCAATTAGCAGAGTCCACCTTGTGCTGTGGCTTATAATACCAGCCCTAGTCCTAGGACTTGGGGATGAGTACTGGACCCTTTTCCAGTCCCACAGAGTGACTATAAGCCACACAGATTTTACTCTGGAGGGTAGGATTCCAGAGAGGTAGAATGGAAGTATGTTCTTCCCTATGCACACCTGTTAAATTCCAGTAGCACCAAGAAATTTAGAATGAATTTTTACAGTCTTGGTGTTACAGGGTGTAGTAGGATCATGACCCAGATTCCGCAGGCTGGGAGTGGAGTGTATCATGGGCTGCTTCTGGTATTATTAGCCCCCAGAAGCTAAGGTGAATCTCCCTTGCTCACGGAGAATGCATGAGCATAGTTCTGGGGCTAATGTCCCAAAGCTCCCACATTTCAGGATTCTGGAGATCTGTCCTTTGACCCACATGCTGCCCTGATTCTGACTATAATGCTGGCAGAACAGAGGAGTACTGTGAGACTGTTTGCTGCCCTGGATGGTACTCTGTGGGAGCAGGGGATAAAGGGAGCAAGGAGGCTTCCCTTCTGCAAGCTCAGCAGTTGCTCAGATCCCAGTCAGCAGTCCAGGCTGAAATAAAAGTCAGAGGGTGACTGTGGAATTCCCTCTCAGCTAAAACTGGGAGTGGTGGGGTGCACAGCAATTTTTTTCTATCTTGACAGAAGATGGCAGCTCACACCTGGCAGCTGGCTGCAGCAATGTCTCTGTCTCCTCTTTTCTCACCAAGTCTTAGATTTTCATTTTCATTGAAAACTTCCATCAGTCAGACTCCTGAAAATGTAGTCCTTCCTTTGTTCTTTTCATATCCAAGCTGTTTAACTTACTGTGGCTATACCTATTCAGCCATCTTGGATTTCCCCTTACCCATTCTTGATTTGCTGAATTGCCTGTAGATGCCTAATACAATCCATCTTTATATCTCATGTGGTAACCATGCAGCCTGGCCAGTATTGTGGTGCAGCAGGTTAAGCCACTGCTTGAGTTGCTGGCATCCCATACTGGAATACTGGTTCAAGTCTGTGCTGCTCCACTTCTGATCCAGCTTCCTGCTAATGTGCCTGGGATCTGGATAGAACTCTGGGCTCCTGGCTTCAGCCTGGCCCTGCCCTTTCTGTTACAGACATTTGGAGAGTGAACCAGTGAGGGAAGATCTCTTTCTGTCTCTCTCTCTGTCACTCTGTCTTTCGAATGCATTAAAAAAAAATCATAAAAGAAGAAAACCCTTTCTACCAAGCAAGTCTACCTCTTTAAAAAGTTGGATCATTGGGGTTGGCACTATGATGTAGTAGGTAAAGCCACTGCCTGCAGTGCTGACATCCCATATGGGTGACAGTTCAAGTCGTGGCTGTTCTAGTTCCAATCGAGCTCCCTGCTAATGTGTATGGGAAAACAGCAAAAGATGGCCAAATGCTTAGGCACCTGCACCCATGTGAGACACCTGGAACAAGCTCCTGGCTTCAGATTGGCCTAGCTTTGGTGTTGTGGTCATTTGGGGAGTGAACCAGTAGATGGAATCTCTCTCTCTCTTTCTCTCTCTTTCTGTAACTCTTTCAAATAAATAAATCTTAAAAACTTAGATCATTTCAAGTAACATCATATTTATTTAAATGTATGGGGTAGCTCTTTTAAATTTAACTATTGTTTTTGCCTTTTTAAAAATCTCTACCTGTTGAAGAAAAGTTGGATTGTGGTGGTAGATCTTCTTCCAACTTCCAATGCATAGGGCAGTACCCATGTGCCAATTTCATAGCCAAAACACAAGGTAAGTTGCATGTGCAACCTGTTATTAAGGATTATCAAGCTCTGACTTTTCCTGCTATGATAACTAATCACCTGTTCAAAATAATTTTTCAATATCACTCATTTTATTTTTACTAATTCATTTGACCTTTTTTAATTCTTTAGTTTTGGGTCCTAAAAACATATTAAAATAGGAGGCAAGGTAATAAATACTCTAGAGTTATCTGGCAAACCACTTAACAGAACAGGGGAGATCCAAAATATAAAAATAAAAAATCAATTTACTACTAGGAATGGCAAAGATTTAACTACATATAGTTCTCTAAAGGGAGAGACAATATTTTCCAATCTAGTGAATAAATTTACAAGTCTTAACATCAGAAAACAGAATTTTCAGTGCAAATTTTATGCATATTCAAAACCAATAACACATAGCAAATACTCAATAAAATGATCATTTCCCAAAGTATGCATATATATGATAATTAAATGCCACTAGTAAATTTACCTTTTTTTTTTTTTTTTTTGACAGGCAGAGTGGACAGTGAGAGAGAGAGACAGAGAGAAAGGTCTTCCTTTTGCCTTTGGTTCACCCTCCAATGGCCGCCGCCGCCAGCGCGCTGCAGCCGGCACACCGCGCTGATCTGATGGCAGGAGCCAGGTACTTCTCCTGGTCTCCCATGGGGTGCAGGGCCCAAGCACTTGGGCCATCCTCCACTGCACTCCCTGGCCACAGCAGAGAGCTGGGCTGGAAGAGGGGCAACTGGGACAGAATCCGGCGCCCCGACCAGGACTAGAACCCGGTGTGCCAGCGCCGCAAGGCGGAGGATTAGCCTAGTGAGCAGCAGCGCTGGCCTTATATATTTTCAAATATGAATTAAGGGCAAGAATCATATGTGAAAAAATACTACAATAATTTAAAAATTTCACAAAGCCATCTGTTGTCTTCAAAATTGTAAGTAAATGTCTCCCAAGACCTTTCATGTGCTTATACTTGGTGTACTGTTACTTAACACTTATTTTGTATAAAATTTCTCAATTAGGCATACGATACTATAATCATAGTATTTTTTTTTTTTTTTTTTTTTTTTTTTTTTTTGACAGGCAGAGTGGACAGTGAGAGAGAGAGACAGAGAGAGAAAGGTCTTCCTTTGCCGTTGGTTCACCCTCCAATGGCCGCCGCTGCAGCCGGCGCACCGCGCTGATCCTGGCAGGAGCCAGGAGCCAGGTGCTTTTCCTGGTCTCCCATGGGGTGCAGGGCCCAAGCACCTGGGCCATCCTCCACTGCACTCCCTGGCCATAGCAGAGAGCTGGCCTGGAAGAGGGGCAACCGGGACAGAATCCGGCGCCCCAACCGGGACTAGAACCCGGTGTGCCGGCGCCGCAAGGTGGAGGATTAGCCTATTGAGCCACGGCGCCGGCCTTAATCATAGTATTATTATAGTCAATGCAATTATAGTAATACTGTAAACTATTTTATTAATCTTTCAGAAGTGAACAGAATCTACATGAAAGTGTGCCAAAATAATTTCAGATTTTATATTAAACTTTGATATTTACCTAATAAGTTTTGTTTTTAAACATATATGCAAAATGCGGATAGTAATAGTTGATGTGTATGTGTTGATCTACAACTTTTCTATATCCATATTTGTTTATGAGCTCTGAAAAACTGGCAGTAGAGCATGAATTTTTAAGTTGAGATAAAACACACATAATATAAAATTTACTACCAACTATTTTTAATTATACATTTGGTGGTATTAGGTATTCACACTGTTGTGCAATTCTCAACACCATACATCCCCAGAACTTTCTCATCATTCAAGACAGAAATTCTGTACCCATTAAACGCCAACTCTATTTCCCCTACCCTTAACCCCTGGCAACCACTGTTCTACTCAGGGTATCTATGAACTTGAGTCTCCTAGGTACCTATTTTAAATATAGTTTTGATCCTTTTATGACTGACTTCCTTCACTTATACCATCCCAAGGCTCAATCAGATCATAGTATGTGTCAGATTTTCATTCTTTTTTAAGTGTGAATTCCAATGTACGTACCACATTTTATCAATTCATCCACTGATGGGATGAAAATTTGGAGTGCTTACACCTTTTGGTTTTTGTGAACAATACTGTTATTAACACTTGTATACAGTATCTGCTAAGTTACCCATTCAGTTTTGGGGGAATGTATCCAAAAGAATAATTTCTGGGTCACATGACAATTCTGTTTAAGGTTTTGAAGAAACTGCCCTGCTTTTCATGGCATCTGTACCATTTTATATTCTCCCCTAGCAATGCACAAGGGTTATTTCTCAATTAAAAATGAATTTTCAAGGATAACAATATGAGTTAAATTTTGTGATACAATTTCTAGTCTTATTTCTCTTTGTCACTTGCTTTTATTACTGAAATCAAAACTACAAGACTTAGTCTGATTAGAAAGGTTAATTTCCTTTTTTTTTTTTGAGATTTTGTATAAAATTTATTCAAAAAAGCAATTTGAAAAGTTCTAGAATAACACATAATGTCCTTTGGTGAATATAAAAATATTATATATTATAATAAAAACAATAAAATAAAATTGATGTTCATATATTACATCTTCTTGTGGCTAACAAAGCCAGAGAGATGGTCTGGTCTCTGGGGGCAGGAGAAACTACTCAGGACCAAAATCTTGGGAATAATGACATATTCAATATGCAATATATTATATTCACAGATTCCTTACTCACAGTACTGGTACATAGGCAATATAGTCTTTTTTTTTTAACTTTTATTTATTTATTTATTTATTTATTTATTTTTATTTTTTGACAGGCAGAGTGAACAGTGAGAGAGAGAGACAGAGAGAAAGGTCTTCCTTTGCCGTTGGTTCACCCTCCAATGGCCGCCGCGGCCGGCGCGCTGCGGCCGGCGTACCGCACTGATCCGATGGCAGGAGCCAGGAGCCAGGTGCTTTTCCTGGTCTCCCACGGGGTGCAGGGCCCAAGCACTCAGGCCATCCTCCACTGCACTCCCGGGCCACAGCAGAGAGCTGGCCTGGAAGAGGGGCAACCGGGACAGAATCCGGCGCGCCGACCGGGACTAGAACCCGGTGTGCCGGCGCCGCTAGGCGGAGGATTAGCCTAGTGAGCCGCGGCGCCGGCCTAACTTTTATTTAATGAATATAGATTTCCAAAGTACAGCTTATGGATTACATTGGCTCCCCCCCACCAATGGCTTCCCTCCCACTGGCAACCCTCCCCTTTCCCGCTCTCTCTCCCCTTCCATTCATAGCAAGATTCATTTTCAATTTTCTATATATACAGATCAGTTTAGCATATATTAAGTAAAGATTTCAACAGTTTGCACCCCCATAGAAACACAAAGTGAAAAATGCTGTTTGAGTACTAGTTATAGCATTAAATCACAATGTACAGCACATTAAGGACAGAGATCCTACATGAGGAGTAAGTGCACAGTGACTCCTGTTGTTGACTTAACAATTTGACACTCTTGTTTATGGCATCAGTAATCTCCGTAGGCTCCAGTTAGGAGTTGCCAAGGCTATGGAAGCCTTTTGAGTTCACTGACTCTGATCCTATTTAGACAAGGTCGTAGTCAAAGTGGAAGTTCTCTCCTCCCTTCAGAGAAAGGTACCTCCTTCTTTGATGACCCATTCTTTCCACTGGGATCTCACTCACAGAGATCTTTCATTTAGGTCCCCCCCCTTTTTTTTTTTTGGTAGAAAGGCTAATTTCAAAAGTCCACTGACAAGGAGAAACAGAGAAAGTTACCAGTTATAAAAAAAGCTAAATCAGAGTGTATGTTATGATTTAAAAAAATCTGAGGGAAAAAAACATCATATAGAATGAAGGAAAAAAGTAATTTCTTCCCTCAATTTTTAAAATTTTTTTGTTTATTTATTAATTTAAAGAGAGAGAGAGAAATACTCCTTATCCCCAAATATTGCAAACAACTGGGGCTGGGCCAGGCCAAAACCAAGGGCTGGGAACTCGATCCATGTCACCCACATGGGTAGCAGGTACCCAATTACTTGAGCCATCACTTGCTGCCTTCCAAAGTAAGCTTTATTAAAAAGCTAGACTCAGAAGCAGAGCCAGGATTCCAACTCAGGCACTCCAAAGCAGGATGTGGGTATCCTACATGGCTCCTTTAATTGCTGTTCCAAATGACCACTCCCTCACTTAGAATGCTAATGGTATGAGAGTAAACTCAACTCAGAAGCTGAGAAGGAAGATAAAACAAGTTCTGATAATAGCAAACTACAGACAAGTATGTATAAATGAAGAGGGGACAACTTACCCTTCAGGTAGAGGTTGAAGAAAACATAATTAGATAATGTGCACCTACATTTTCTATTGTCTCCTGATGAAGAAGTGATCAAGAATTTAAAGTTGTTTTTCTGACATATTCTTCAGATTATTGTATAAACTGAATGATAAGAACTTGCTTTAAAAATTGTATGTGTTTGTTTAGATGTAAAAAAGGAACACCTAAAGGACTGAAAAATTAAGTAATACATTCAATTTTTGAAACAGGCTACAATTAGATTCATCATTTTAGAATGAGGAGTAATTAACAAAAATACGATTATAAGATTCATAAAAACTTCATTAATTAATATATAAAAACAATTTCTCAGTTTCATTACATTATGCCTGTTATGACACTTTATAAAATATTCATATATACATTAAAACTCTAATGTTCCTAAATTTGTTTAAACAATATTCTAAAGATAGTATTTCACACATGTATCTAATAGTTTCATATGAAAATATACTTTCCATAAAGCACAACAGCAATTTGCACTTCAAAAAATACAATAGTATAAATTCAAGAAAACAAGCATATTTTTGTGACATTCCAAAAATTCATATTAAATAAAACTTAAAATAATTAAGTTGAACTTCATCAGAATTATTTTAAAGCAGAATTTTAGAATCATTATCTCTACCTGCATGGATACCATGACTATCTTTCAGAATTATTTCAAAATCATTCACACAGCATTTTGATTAGTTTAGATACTACATGCACATTGAGACTATTTCCAAGTAGACGATAACGCTGCTTCAATGTTATCTTCTCAGGAAATCCTAGAAAGGAGAGATAAAAATGTATAATAAAATCATTTGTAATAGCGACTTCCAGAGATGAAAGGATACATCCTTTAAACATGGCACAGTAGTATTTCAAAAATATAACCATATACCACACAACAATGTTCTGGTCAAGGACAGACTGTATACAGAGGGTAGTGCCATAACATTTCACTGCCTAGTGACACCATACCTATCTTAGTTTGTGTAACTATATACTCTATGATGATCACAGAATGACAAAACTATCAATGAATTTCTCAACATCTCTTGTTGAGCAATGCATGACTATAAATCAGTAAGGTCTCCATGATGATGTTATTAATAAGTGAGAACCTAAACCCCAAAATATTATTTAACATTACATTGCCTAAACATAAAAAGATGTTGCCATATCACATTACATTATATAACAGTCAGTGCACACATGCATACATAGATAATATACACAGAACTCATAGAAATCTATATATTAATGACCTTTAGGGAAACTGGTGGGAACCATTATTTCACACATTTGTTTCTTTAATATCACTTTTATGAAGATATAATCTACATACCACAAAATTCACCCTTTTAAAGTGTACAATTCAGTGGTTTTAATATACACATAGTTTTTCAAACAGCCCTACTATCTAAATCTGGAACATTTTCATCACTTCCAAATGAAATTTGGTACCCATCTAGTAGTTACTCCCCATTCCCTCTCTGTACTCCTCAACCACTAATCCACTTTCTGTATCTATGAATTGGTCAATTCTGAGTAATTCATATGAAAGGAATCATGTAGTATATTATTTTTGGCTCTGGCTACTATGACTTAGCATAATGTTTTCAAAGCTCATTCATGTTGTAGCATATAGCAATAAATCTTCCCTTTGATGGCTGTATAAAAATTTAGTGTACATATAAAACTCATCCTTTGATAGACATCTGGGTTGTTTCTACTTTGGCTATTATAAATCATGTTTTTATGAACATTCATGTATGAATTTTGGTGCACATATTTTCAATTCTTTGTGGTAAATACCCATGAGTGAAACTGCTGAGCCCTACAGTAACTCTATATGTAATGTTTGAGGAAAAGTCAGGCTATTTATTTATTTATTTATTTTTGACAGGCAGAGTTAGACAGTAAGAGAGACAGAAAGAGAGTTATAGAAAGTGAGAGAGAGACAGAAAGGTCCTCCCTCCACTGGTTCACTCCCTCAATGGCTGCCAAAGCCAGTGCCACGCTGATCCGAAGCCAGGAGCTGGGTGCTTCCTCCTGGTCTCCCATGCGGGTGAAGGGACCCAAGCACTTGGGCCATCCTCCACTGCCCTCCCGGGTCACAGCAGAGAGCTGGACTGGAAGAAGAGCAACTGGGACCAGTACCTGGCACTCCAACCAGGACTAGAACCCGGGGTGTCAGCGCCACAGGCGGAGGATTAGCCAAGTGAGCCACGGTGCCGGCCATTCAGGCTATTTTCCAAATAAGTTGCCACCATTTATACTCTTATCAGCACTGTATGAGAGTCCCAATTTCTCCACATCTTCACCAACACTGTTACTGTCTTTTAAATTTTAGCCATCTTAATAGCTATGAAGTGTTAATTCATTTTTTTTTAACCTAGAAACTTTAAGGTATACAAACTTCACACATTTCATATATACAAATTTAGGAACACAATGATTCTTCCCACCCTATTCTCACTCCTGCCTGCACTCCCACCTCTCTTCCTTCTCTCTCTCCTATTTGCATTCTTCTTCTTCTTATTATTATTTTTTGACAGGCAGAGTGGACAGTGAGAGAGAGAGACAGAGAGAAAGGTCTTCCTTTTCTGTTGGTTCACCCTCCAATGGCCGCTGCAGCCGGAGCACCGTGCTTATCTGAAGCCAGGAGCCAGGTGCTTTTCCTGGTCTCCCATGTGGGTGCAGAGCCCAAGCACTTGGGCCATCCTCCACTACACTCCCGGGCCACAGCAGAGAGCTGGCCTGGAAGAGGGGCAATCGGGACAGAATCCGGCGCCCCGACCGGGTCAGAACCTGGTGTGCCGGCGCCGCAGGCAGAGGATTAGCCTATTGAGCCACAGCGCTGGCCCCTATTCGCATTCTTATTTTTTACAAAGATCTATTTTCAGTTAACTTCATACTCCTAAGATTAACCCTATACTAAGTAAACAGTTTAAAAAATAGTATGAAGAAAAAAGAAAGAAAAAAAGCCATCATTGTTCTTCAACAGTCAAGACAAGGGTTATTTAAAATCATCGCATCTCTTATAAGAGTGTTAATTGTTATATTAACAACAGGGGGCCGGCGCCGCGGCTCACTAGGCTAATCCTCCGCCTTGCGGCGCTGGCACACCGGGTTCTAGTCCCGGCTGGGGCGCCAGATTCTGTCCCGGTTGCCCCTCTTCCAGGCCAGCTCTCTGCTGTGGCCAGGGAGTGCAGTGGGGGATGGCCCAAGTACTTGGGCCCTGCACCCCAGGGGAGACCAGGAGAAGTACCTGGCTCCTGCCATTGGATCAGCACGGCGCGGCCGGCACGGCAGCCATTGGAGGGTGAACCAGCGGCAAAGGAAGACCTTTCTCTCTGTCTCTCTCTCACTGTCCACTCTGCCTGTCAAAAAAAAAAAAAAAAAAACCAACAGGGGCCGGCTCACTTGGTTAATCCTCCACCTGTGGTGCCAGCATCCCATATGGGCACTGGGTTCTAGTCCCGGTTGCTCCTCTTCCAGTCCAGCTCTTTGCTGTGGCCCGAGAGGGCAGTGGAGGATGTCCCATGTGCTTGGGCCACTGCACCCGCATGGGAGACCAGGGAGAAGTACCTGGCTCCTGGCTTCGGACCTGCGCAGCGCTGACCATAGCAGCCATTTGGGGAGTGAACCAATGGAGGAAGACCTTTCTCTCTGTCTCTCTCTCTCACTGTCTATAACTACCTGTCAAATTAAAAAAAAAAAAATAATAACAACACTGTGCACTTACTCTCTATGTAGGACCTCTGTCCTTAATGAGTTGTACTATGAGAATTAACTGCAAAACTTGTTCTCAAACAGAACTTTATAAGTTGTGTGTGTGTGTGTGTGTGTGAGTGGGGATACAAACTGTTGGAATCTTTATTTAGTATAGAGTTGGTCTTCTATATATAAAGTTAATTAAAATCAATCTTAATAAAGAATGGGATGGGAGAGGGACTAGGAGGTGGGACTGAGTGGGGATGGGAAGGTGGGAATGTGGGGAAGAATCACTTTATTCCTAAAGTTGTACCTATGAAATTTGCATTCATTAAATCAAAGCTTTTTTTAAAAAAAAAAAAAGAACCACACAAAACATTTAGAATTCTTGAGAATAAGGTGGATCCAAAAGTCATTACTTTTAGAAAGAAATCATGCCATAGAAAGAAGTTTTTTGGAAAGAGAATGGAAATGTTACCATTGGTTGTTAATTTTGTTGTTGAAAATGATATAATATTTTGATGTCTTATAATGTGAAGAAGCCTTTAAAGTTTCAAATTTATAAACTTTGTAAACAGAAAAATTTCCACTTGAAGAGTCCCAGATATTTACACTCACAAATGCAATGCTTCTGCTTTGTTAAGACGATCTAATGGTTATGAAGAAAGATGGTTAGTCAAGTTTCAACAAAATCTCACTTAGTTAAAAAATCATTGCATCTTAAAGTGTCAATTTCACTTCTATAGAATAACTTTAAGGTACTCTATCAGCACAGATTAAGAATAACATATAGTATTTGTCTTTTTTGGGACTGGCTTATTTCATTAAGTATAATGTTATCCATTTCATTGCAAAAGACAGGATTTCTTTTTTTTTAACCACTGTGTAGCATTCAATAGTATACATATATCATGATTTCTTTATCTAGTCTTCAGTTGATGCATATCGGGGTTGATTCCATATCTTAGCTATTGTGAAGTGAGCGTCAATAAACATGGAGGTACATATCACTCTTCAATATGCTGATTTCTTTTCATTTGGGTAAATTCCCAGGTATGGGATGTCTGGGTCATATAGTAGGTGTATATTCAGATTTCTGAGGTATTTCCATACTGTCGTCCACAGTGGCTACACCAGTTTACAGTCCTACCAAAAGTGGATTAGAGTACCTTTTTCCCTACATCCTCACCAGCATTTTTGTTTGTTGATTTCTATATGAAAGTCATTCTAACTGGGATGAGGTGAAACCTCATTGTGGTTTTGATTTGCATTTCCCTGATGGCTAGTGATTTTGAACATTTTATCAAGTATTTGTTAGCCATTTGAGTTTCCTCTCATGAAAAATGCCTGTTCAAGTCCTTTGCTCATTTCTTATTTGGATTGTTTATTTTGTTGTTGTTGAGTTTCTTGAGCTCTTTATAGATTCTGGATATTAATCCTTTACCAGTTGCATAGTCTACAAATAATTTTTGCCATTCTGTCAATCGCCTCTTCACTTTGCTGAGTACATTTTTTGTAGTACAGAAGCTTCTCAGCTTGATGTAATCCCATTTGTCAATTTTTGCTTTGTTTGCCTGTGCCTCTGGGGTCTTTTCTAATAAGTCTTTTTCTTATGCCAATGTCTTGCAGGGTTTCCCAAATGTTCTCTAGTAATTTATGGTATTGGGTTGAAGATTTAGGTCTTTGATCCATTTTGAATGGATTTTTGTGTAAGTGTAAGGCAGGGGTCATGCATCATACTTCTGCACATGGAAATCCACTTTTCCCAGTACCATTTGTTGAAGAGACTGTTCTTGTGCCAGGGATTGATTTTTAGCTCATTTGTCTAAGACAAGTTGGTTGTAGATGTGTGGATTATTTTCTGGAGTATCTATTCTGTTCCACTGAGCTAGACATTTGTTTTTCTTACCAGTACCAGGCTGTTTTGATTATAACTGCCCTATAATTATTGAAATCTGGTGTTGTGTGCCTCTGGCTTTGTTATTGTTCTTTAAGATTATTTTAGCTATGGGGGGAGGGTCTCTTGTGTTTCCATATGAATTTTAGCATCATTTTTTTCTAGATC